CAAACAAAAAAAAACGTAAAAATACTTTTTTTTAAATATTTTATTCTGAATCGATTAAGACCAAAACGAAATTGATCGGTTCAGTGGTTACTTAGATATTGCCTTGAGAAAATCTTCCCACTTCTATTTTGCATGAATCTCGCGTATAATAGGCATGGTGTGCTCGCGCAGTTCGAGCGCAACTTCGTTGCGCGTGAAACTTGGCGCGAGGCACTACCGTGCCTCTTGATTCCTAATATTACTGAAAAAGATATTCGACATATCATACAAAACTTTATTAGTTTTAAACTATTTTATTCATAGTCCAATGCAATGTATGCAACGTGCCAAACAGTAAATTACGTTAAATAACATCTCTAACGTTTAGAAGACATACTAAAAACATTTTATATATGTAATATTGCAACTTGAAATACAATACAATCTTATCGTAATATTTCATTATTATACATAAATGTAATATGTCGATAATATTATTGTAATATTAAATTATAATATGTAATATTATTGATATATTGCAATTTTACTGTGATAAATGCAGTAATGCAATAATATTACGTGCTATGTGAGTATATTTATCAATTAAATTTTTTTTTTCATAAGTGCTGCACTTTTTATTGCAATCAGTTTTACAGACACATTTTTACAGATACTTATGACTCTTTCTTTTAATTACACTTATAAATAGTATTAACAAATACATCAAAGACCTTATTGTAATGGATACGTAGTGTAAAATATTAAAAGAATTCTTGTTTCTTACTATGTGCGTTCCAAAACTTGTATACTAATATATATCATAACAAATCTAAAATTTTTATGTATCTTTTCAATCATGCAAAAACGAGTGATTGTACTTTTCCAATAACATACTTCACCAAGATTTTCACTATTTCGCAAGTGTTGTAAATACAATAGAATATTCCAAAGTAAAATAGATACACCGTCGTGATATGGATAGCATACATTCTGAAACAAACGTATGAAATATGAACTATAATCGAAACAAATGTCTAGACTGTTGCACATTCAAAGACGAAGCACGTAGTATGAACAAAAGACATAATGTGAACAGCGTTAACTTTTTTTTTTGTCATACGATTATTCATTCAAAACCAGAGAATGTTTAGTTTTTTCTTAAGAAGACGTGACTGAAACGACAAATTTTATAGTTCTCGACGAATGGAATTTAAAAAAAGTAAGTGTAATGCAAAAAGTACTCACACTTTTTGACGACGACGGGCTTTTGGCAAAGTAGATAGATCTTCTTTCATACAGTATTGCCGTATTCCAAGAATTATATCCTTGCAGTATTTGTCTTCATCATAATGATGAATTGCAATGGGAAATAGTTTTTGATCTGCTGGTGATAGTTTGTTGGCCATAGCAATCCCCTTATCGTTACGAAATCTCCAATTTTTCGTGGTAAAGTATTGCAATACTTTCAGACCGACTAAAATTCGCTTTTGAATTCTGACCATACTATTCGCGAAAGAATACAAAAAGAAATCAAACATAAAAATATCACAATTTTACCACATATCATATTTTACAAGAGGATTTCAAAAATTTTGCTAATAATAGTTTACAGTACAATTTCAATAAATTTAAGCGCTTAGAACAGATTTTTTCTACAAATTATTAAAAATTTTTTTTCTTCGAGTTAGCATTCACCTGAAGACAAAAGACAAAAGATATATGTTTCTCATTTTTTTAGAATGGGAGTAGACTTCACATTACGAGTTGCGCAGTTTCTCAAGAATATGATACTCGAAATATTTATCAATAACGAGAAGAATTATTGGCTTCATAATTGAGGAGTTAAAATTGTAATGCTCAATATTAGTAGAGTTACTATATGTTACTGTATGTAAGTTTATGTAATAGATGTACAAACATTTTAATGAAATATATAAAAATTAAACTAATTATGTTATTTTACTAATTGTGTTGGTCAAACAAAACGACAGCTTAGAACGAGACTTCGTGAACATCAGTATTCTGTCACTTCTCTCCAACATAATTCTGTCATTTCTGAGCATGGTCTGAATACCGGTCATTCTTTTGATTGGAGTTCGTCTCATGTGCTTGACATTGAATCTAATTATTTTAAAAGACTAACTTCCGAAATGTTATATATAAAACTGAATCCTAATAGTATTAATGTTATGCGTGATACAGAATTGTTAGATAACTCTTATCTTCCACTTTTAAATAAAATTACCTAGTTATCTTGTCTCTCGACAAATGGATCTTTATTATGTACTTATAATGTGGGCCTCGGTTTGAATTTCCTCAGTGGAAATCTTTCGCACGCAAACAACATCTTTGTGTTATTTGATTGTAAATACTGAGGAGATGCAAAGTTGAAGTACGTTGACGAATCAATTTTCTATTTTAAATTACATCTTTGTCAAAAGGCGGACTAAATTTGTTAATTTTTTTGTAATTTTGTTTTGTTTTGGTTTGTAATTTTCTTATCAGCAATCCACTGATGATGACTCAAATAAAGTAGTCAAAACGTCTAAACAATTAATATTATGATTCTTTCTATGCACACCATGCATTCCTACAAATGGTTCTTACAGTCTTATGATTATCTCGAATTTGAAATATATAAAAAATTACTTACAAAACTTAAAATCTTTTCTGTTGAAATATCAACATATGAAATACAAATATAACATGTAAGTAGAATGTAATATAATTGTTATAAAGTTACAGAAATGTTATATAAAAGTTATATTGTCATTACCAGCTAATAACAAGCAATATAATAGATATATAACATAATTATATTACATTTATAACACAAAGTTACATAACATCGATGTTAATAGAGTCTAACAGCTGTTATATTACGTATATTATGCTGTTACTTCTATGTTATATAACAGTTATATTCTGCGTTTGCTGAAAAATGATAGAAAAGGTGAAGAAAATAAGGTATTTCGGATACATACTGCACAGAAAAATGAAGAAGCAGAGAAACATGTAGTGGAAAGAATGAGAAGAGCGGTGAAGCAAACCTAGAGCATCGGAGAAAAACTATTCAAAGAGGACTACAAAAAAAAGATGAAAATGTACAACGAGTTGGTGGGCAGTGTGGCATTCTACGGCGCGGAGATATGGGGGTGGAAGAAAAAAGAAAGATTGGACACAGTGACGAGAACATATATAAAGTGGATAGTAAAATTGGATAGAAGAACGCCAAACTATATTGTAAAAGAGGAGACAAAAATGAAGGAATTAAGACTGGAGGCTATACAAAGAGCGATGAAATATGAAGAGGAGGCACGGAATTCGAAAAAGAAGTTAGTGGTAGAGTGCATGAAAAAAATAGAAAGAGCGGAAGAAAGTAGGTCAGAGAAATAGAGAAAAGAAGTGATGCAAGACGTGGGTATTAGCAAGGAGGAGTTAAAAGAAAAGAGAGAGACAGAGGAGATGAAAGAGATAGTGCAAGAAATAGTAGAGAGAATAAAAAAGAAAGATAAGAAGGAAAGAAAGAAAAAGATAGAGGAATCGAGGTACAACGTCAGCTACAGAAACGCAATAACAGAAGAAGTACCGGCATACTTAAAAGAAAGAAAAGTAAGAAAGAAAGGACAAAGATAGCAAGATACAGATGTGGGAACAAAATGAAGAGGAACCAACAGTGGCTAACAAAGGAGGAAAGGATGTGCTGAATATGCGGAGTCGAAATAAAAGATATAACACTTATATTGAAGAACTGCAACAAAACGAAAAAAGAAATATCAGAAGAAGAGTTCTCAAGAGAAGATGGGAAAGGCTGTAAAGTAATGAGGAAAATTGATAAAAGAATGAAAGAAAAAGAAATTGAAGATAAGAAAAAGATAGAAAAGGAGGAAAGAAAAACAAAGAAAGAAGAATACCAAAGAAACAGCGATAAATAGGGGATAAACAGAGTGATATTAAATGCAAGGACACACAGTACGAACTGTGAGTGACGAGAAAGAGCAAAAGAGCAATATTAGGAATACGAACAGTGACAACATAACATACATATATAGTAGTTAGTAGTAGCGGTATTATTTAAAATATGTTAAAAGATGTTAAAAAAGATGTTACAAACCGTTAAAATATCCAAACTGCTAAAAGGTTAAAATGTTACTATGTTAATATGTTAAAATGAAAATTAAAGTTATTTCGGGTCATATGTAAAAATGTAAAATGTAAAACGTAATATGTAAAATGTACAATGTAAAGTAACCGGAAGCCATTTAAAGCAGAAAGGCAAGGATTAAGCTTAATAACTAAATAAAATAAATATTTTATTGAAATATATAAAAAGATACTTCAAAAACTTACAATCTTTTCTGTCGAAATATCAACATGAGAAAGTCGATTAAATACGCAGGAATGATGTGAAAGAAAAAGGCAAATAAGTTGTGCACATATTTGTTGGTACGTATATTACCATCCGGATACCAAGCCTGTCCTTCAAAAGGATAATCATAAATGATTTTCCTGCCTTTCTCTAACATTTGACCCCATGTAATGGGCCTTACATTTCCCTGCGTTATGTTGTACACAGGTATGCTTTTTGATCTGTTGACATCAATAATTATAATTTAGTTGTTGTGTAGATATAAAATAGAAAAGCATTTACTGAACTAAAATAGAAGTATGTACTTTATTTTGCTGGTACCAATCATGTATGATAAGACAATTAACGAATTAATTGCAATGTCGACTGGAATAATTTCGGCACAGTAAGTTGGTATGCAGTGCATCGATCTAATAACACCTTTGCCTGCGCCGACAAGTATGCCTCCAACTCCATTTAAAGTATCAACCCATCCTGGCACTGGCTCCAATAAAATAGGACATACTGCGCAACATAACAATTTTTAAATTTGATTGCTCATAGTTTTTTGCAAAATATTAGTTCTTATAGCCAATATTAAACATTGCGATAATTACCGATGGAAGGTCTAGCAATAATACACGGAAGATTAGGGTATTCATTGGCCACCAATGTTTCCGTAAGTTGTTTTGAATACGTGTAACAATTTGGATGCGAACCTAATAATCTGTAAATATAAATGTATATAAAAAATAAATATTTTTTTAAATATATAACAATAAAATATTAATATACACTAAGAAATTATTATAATTTATACATATCATTCTTAATGTTATACAAATTTAATTACTTAGGTGTAATAAGATCGATAGCTTCTTCGTCCAGCCATTCAACTAGTCTCATGATATCATGAGGATCATGAGGAGAATCGTAGATATGTTCGCCAAGTTCGTCTTGATCGACATGACAATAAGCCGTACTTAAATGTACGAAAACTTGCAAGTGTTTCATTTGTTTTGCCAACTTTAGTACTGTGTGTGTAGCCATCTTTTAAAATTAAATTAAACATGTCGTATATACTCAGATTGTTACAAAAAATATAAAACCTTTGCAGTTTAAAGTTGTATATTAATTATATCGAGTATTTATTTGTATAATTAGTTCTTGTGGACACACACATTTAATTATTTTAATATTTGTTATAGGGAAATTAAAAGTACAGTAAATAATAAACAAAACTTAAAAATAATATTAATACACCTAGCTGCTACGGTGAATACTGATATTTATGATAGTTATAATAATCTACCGTGTTCATTTTGATAGAGTCTTTTATTTTCGCCTCCATTCTAAGACTCGCGGCTAAATGAAATACTACGTTTACTTCCTGTATCAAACACTCGCGCTGTACGGTAGTAAGACCTAAATTATCTGATAATATATCGCCATTTAGTGGTATTACTTTCTTAAAAATTTGTGCTTTCTGTTCCTGTAGTCTTCGAAATAACTGTAAAAATATCAGTTAAATAAAAAACCGTGCAATTAATAAGTTTATATAAATAATTTTGAAGTTCTTGTAAAAAATATGTGTACGAAAAAACAAGATTAATTTAAAAATATCAAAAAAGCCGTTTTTGAATATTTGATAAGTATAATTGCGAGACATTTATTTAACTTTTTGGTTTTAATTTATTTTTTCGCAAAATTGGTAGTTTAAATATATCTACTTCATACATAAAAACAATTTCTTACTGGTATGTTAAACATATCCTTAAATCGATTTTCCCAATTGTGGCCTTTCTTGTCTCGTATAAGGATATAGATTTTACTGAGATCAGAGCAGCTATACAGTAATTTTTCCATGAGAACTTTGCCCATAAAACCGGAAGCGCCGGTAATAAAAATGATCTTATCCTTGTAGAAGGACTGAACTTCAGATCTCGATTCGTCCATAATCTTGAATTGTCACAAGAGTTTTCTGTGTATATTATGTGTACAGAGTGTTCCGTAAGTGCCGTACAATTTCTTGTTGGAAAGTAGAGTGGGTTATATTGAATGAAAAAGTTCGTCATATATATATATATATCATTTTTCGAGATTTGCAATAATTATTGAGATCTCAATTAATAAAGATTTACGAGTGAGCATGCATCGGGCTGTCTTACGGCGCGACATTCCGGCGCCAGTGTTTTCAGTTTTGACTTTTTCGCAGCATGCTGAAACGGTGAATGGGATGCGCACAACAGCAGTAAGTTTATGCAGGTAGAACTCGCTGCTGTTGTGTGCATTTTTTCCACCACTTCAGCATGCTGTAAAGGGCCGTCTACAAAGGAAGTAGGCAGTATAGAGTAAGAAGTAAGGTTCTTGGAGTTATATCAGTTTCGTCTATACAAGTAAGTATTTTGCGTTTTATAACACTCGTCTTTCATTAGCTAACAGTAAGGCAGTAGGCAGTGCAAAATAGAATCTACTCATTCCGTTATTCTCGTTGTTACTTCACCGTAAAATAGTTTATTCTCTACTCTTACTGTTTTAGTATCTTCATTAGACTATCTTCAGTAGACTGACTCTTATGATACACAGTTATTCGCAAATCTTTATTAATTAAGATTTCGGTAATTATTGCGAATCTTGCAAAGTGGCAAAGAACTGTTTAACTCAATATAATCTTCTCTATCTGCTCACAAGAGATTGAACGGCAATTACGGAACATCTTGAATATTGTGGTCTGGTTTTTCGATAATTTAGAGATTATTGACTAACAAGATCAGAATCACGTGCTATTCTGCGTTAAAAAAAGTAACCAAAAATTAAAAAGAAAATACACTATACATTTCTGCAGAATCCTTCTTCCAAAAGCTACCAGGTTTTAAAAACATTCTTTTTTTCACCAATTTAATGTTTTGATTCCTTCTTTTTAAATTTTATTTTTTCTCTTATAATTTATGTTTTTAAAATATATAATGTCATGAAAATTATAAAACATTAAATTAAAAAATTATTTTCTACTTACAGTCTTTCTATTGTAACATTTATTTCTGCACACAACTTAAATAAAATAACAAACAAGTAGATTACCAGAAGAATTGTGTTGTAATTGTATTCATACGTTTATTGTCGAGTCCGGCAGATACTACTAAACTGAGTGAAGTGTCTCTTCTACTGGTGTATTTATATGATTTTGTTATACATAGCACGTAATTGTTCAATAATTACATAATCTTTTGTGGAAAAAATTATCTATTTTAAAATCTTGATTTAGTTTTTTATTGTACATTTACATCGTACGATATACGTAAGGAAACCATTTACATAATAGATATAATCTCATGCATATATAATCATATCAAAACATGATGACTTTGCAATTATAACAATGTATTATTTATTCTTGCACTTTCAAAATATTTTATGATATATTATAAAATAAAATTGGATACATAGTATTAAAAACACCTTGAAACTTTATTTAAGTGAGTAAGTAAATTGAGTGTGGAGTTTTATGCGTTAAAACCTCGAGCTTTTTATAGATTAGAAAAAATTTTCTCATGATTGCGCAGCATTGATATCATCGTAAATGGAAGAATTACGCATACAAGCCCAGATCCGTCTGTGTTGCAACGTCACGCACGGCTGTGACGCTAGTATGTAAATAAGTACAAAAACATTATTTCTATTTATTCTTTCTACCAAGCCAAAGTCCAAGCGAGATTGCGCTTATGTTGTTTGTAAATACTTAAAATGTGTGTGAGTTAATTTCCCTAAAAATAAAGTGTTAATATATTATAAAGAACGTTTAATACGTATATTTTTGTATAGTTCAAGTGTATATGTTTATTTTAAGTTTTAAGTATTATAGAAAAATATAAATATCTACTGGATAACTACTGGATGTTTGGAGAATATCTATCTTGTCTGTTATTTATATTGAATATTGATTTTTTGCAGAACATCTTATGTTACATATGTTCTCTGGAAATTGGTAACATAGTTACAAAAGATACTATTATTTTTTTCATAACTAAACTTTTCTTATATACATTTAAAATACATCTAAAAGATACGTTTGTTGTCGAGTCCGGCGAATGTTACTAGCAAAATGATTATAAATGTTTCTTCTACTGGTGTATTTATATGATTTATGTATAAATTGCACGTAGTTGTTTCGTTGATTACATAATTACTTGTGAAATACATTATTATTTAAAAACAAGTTTTTTAATAATAATTTATATCATTTTACAATATACGTAAGAAAACCATTTAGTATAATCTCATGCAAATATAATTATATAAAACATGTAGACTTTGCAATCATAACAATTTATTGATTTTTGCATTTTCAGAATATTTTATGATATATTTAAAATAAAATTCGATATATGGTACTGTTACGTCCTGACCTACGGTTACGATCGGGTCCTAACGGAGGAACGCAACTTGACACACGACACTTTTGTGTATTATATCTCGGCACACTGACCTAATGAGATAAGGCAAGCATGCGAGTCGAGTGAGACTG